CTAATCTTTCTAGTAAAGGTCATGCAAGGTAGTTATTCAGGATAATTAGGTTGGTATGGTTGTGATTACACATGGTAACACAGCCCTCCACTGATTTAACTTTAGCTTTAGATACCACTTTTCTTTTTTCCTGGTAATCGAAGACAGATTTTATGACACAACGTGTTTCAGTTACACTCATAATCCACATACTTGAGAAAGCCATTATGAAAAAAATGTTGCAGTAGAAATATTAGTTTTTTTGGTTTTTTTTTTAAAAAAGACAGTAAACTTACACAGTAGTATAACAATAAAGAAAAAGTACAAACTTTGAAGTTTCAAGCTTCTGAGCTATCTTGGGGCAGATGTGTTAAAATGTTGCATCCTATGACCGGCACTGTCACATATTTTCATATGCACACAGATGTATATGAACTTTCACATGCATGCTTTGGCATGTTTGTAATGTTGGGTAACATTTTATAAGCTTTGTGAGTCACAATGCTGACATGTCCCTTACTGTTATAACCACTCCTTTTACCAAAGAAACTGGCTGCTATAAAGCACTATGCCACTTTGATACATACAGTGCAAGTGTAGCAATTGCTGTTCCTACCTTCTTTCAGTAGGAGCATCAGAACAAGTATCTGCTACTTTACAATGTTACAATGTAAAGCATCTACATTTTAAGCAATCTATGTTTTTAGTTACATAAATATGAAATTGCATATAATCATTTCATATTTATTTTCCAAACTAGCAGTTTAATCTTACCTCCAGTGGGGAAAATAATTATTTGATTCCCTGCAGATTTTGTAACTTTTCCCACTTACAAAGAAATGAACGGTCAAACTTTTTTTTATCATAGGTGTATTTTAAAATGATAGATACAAAATATCAACCAAAAATCTAGAAAAAACACGATACAAATGTTATAAATTGAGTTGTAGTTCAGTAAGTAAAATAAATATTTGATCCCCAAGCAAAACATGACTTATTACTTGGTGAAGAAACCCTTGTTGGCAAGCACAGAGGTAAGACATTTCTTGTAGTTGGTTACCAGGTTTGTACACATCTCAGGAGGAATTTTGGTCCACTCTTCTTTACAGATATTCTATAAATCCTTAAGGATTCTTGGCTGTCACTTGGCTAGACCACTCCATGACCTTAATAAGCTTCTTCTTTAGTCACTCCTTTGTTGCCTTGGAGGTATGTTTTGGGTCATTGTCATGCTGGAAGACCCATCCACAACCCATCTTCAGTGTTCTGGCTGAGGGAAGAAGCTGCTCAACCAGGATTTTACAGAACATGGCCGTGTCCAGTGACCCCTCAGTGGGGCAAAGTCGGCCTGTACCTTTAGCAGAGAAACAGCCGCAAAGCATAATGTTTCCACCTTTGTGCTTGACTGTAGGGATGGTGTTCTTAGGGTCATGCTCAGCATTTTTCTTCCTCCAAACACGGCGAGTCGAGTTAATGCGAAAGAGCTCAGTTTTGGTCTTATCTGACCACAGAACTTTCTCCCAATCCTTCTTTGAATCATTTAATTGTTCATTGGCAAACGTCAGACAGGCCTCTACATGTGCCTTCTCTAGGAGGGGGAACTTGCAGGCACTGCAGGATTTCAATCCATGGTGGTTTATTGTGTTGCCAATGCTTTGTTTGGTAATTGTGGTCCCAACTCCCTTGAGAGAATTCACAAGCTCCTTACCTGTAGTTCCGGGTTGATCCTCACTCCATAAGGCGAAATCTTGCATGGAGCTCCAAACCGAGCATGCATGATTGATGGTTATTTTCTATTTATTCCATTTGTGAATAATTGCTCCAACAGTTGTTTCCTTCTCACCAAGCTTCTTGCTGATGGTCTTGTAGCCCATTCCAGCCTTGTGCAGGTCTACAATCTTGTCCCTAATGTCCATTGACAGCTATTTGGTCTTGCCCATTGTGGTGAGGAATAATGAGATTCTGTGGACAAGTGTCTTTTATACACATAACAAATTGTCATTAAGAGCACCTTCTTAAATTGACAGGACTAATCTGTGTAGCACATGAGCACATAGCCAGTCTGTGAGAGCCAGAATTATTGTTGGTTGGTAGGGGATCAAATACTTATTTCACTCACTGAACTGCAACTCAAATTATAACATTTGTATCGTGTGTGTTTTCAGACTTTTTGGTTGATATTCTGTCTCTATCCTTTAAAATACACCTATTTGTTTCTTTATTTCTTTGTAAGTGGGCAAACTTAAAAAATCTGCAGGGGATCAAATAATTATTTTTCCCACTGTATATATTCCAGGATCCTCTGCTGAAAAGCTTTGTTTTTTTTATTAAACAAAGCTCAATAGCTCAAGCTGAAATTTACAGACAAAAGTTAAATAGCCAAAAGAATGATGCACCCCCTACCTGCCTGCTCAGTTTCAGTTAGAAAGAGGAAGTCTGCAGCAACATTCCAATGTTTGTATGGTACCAAATGGAAGCTGTTGTTGCCTTATCTACTTGCTGCAAATAATATGCATAGGGGCTTATTTAGTAAAACTGGAGAGTGAAAAATCTTGTGCAGCTCTGCATAGAAACCAATCAGCTTCCAGGTTTTATTGCCAAAGTTTAATTGAAGAAGCTGAATTTAGAAGCTATTTGGCTACTATGCACAGCTGCACCAGATTCTGAGTGCGCATGTTTTAGTAAATCCCCCCCACGGTATTTTGAATATGTGATTGTGTTTTGAATATTATTTGCACAGGCAAAAAAATAAAAAAAATATAATTTTTGTATTCCTTTTTAGTCGGGTACATATAAAATATTGCACATGAATGTTCCATATTTACCACTTGTAGCTAGTAGTTTGCACACTCAAGGATATGCTGTAGTTGTTCATCCGCCTGAATTACTACTATGCTGTGAAAAGCCTGAATAGCCTATGGTGGGAATAATCTAAATAATTGCTGATTAAATTGCACATGCTGCTGAGTAAGTCAGAAAAGTAGCACATGCCTATCCTCTCCTAGAAGATTCAGACACGTATTGATTGTCAATTAGGCAGAAGTACTCAGCAAGTAAGCAGTAAGGGCTTGTACAGGTGTGCTCTGAAAACAACATGTAATGCAATTACCAAAAAATAAAGGTCTAACTGTTATGAAAAAAAATTATACTCCCAAGAAACTAGAAAAGTAAATGTAAAGTTTCATTGACCGATCAATTTAATTTTATCTGTACAGTTGTCATTTAAAATTATTTTAAAATAAATAGATAAATCTGCTAACAGGTGAAAGTGCATGTACCTAGAAGTGTGTGCAGAACCTGCAGAAGCATTAAAGTGTTACTAAACCCAGGACCCTGCATTCACTATATCTGGTCTCCCACAGTCCACACTACATGGAAATGCAATTATTTTAGTTAATATAAACTGCTACATACTTTTTCTCATCAGCAGTTAGAGCAGTCTTGTGACTTCTATCAGTGTCCAGCAGAGCTCTGGTTAAAGCTTGTAGGAGTTTTCTTTCTGCTCTAGGAGGATGCAAAACCCCTGACCTCTGCCTGGAGAGTGCTGATTGGCCCTGTGCTCTCTAGCAATACACACCAAACTGAGCATGTGCACACAATATGTCTTATCAAGAAATAAGAGGGGGACACTGGAAGAAGGGAAGGATCAGATAAGTCAGGATCAAACAGAATATTTAAACAATGCAGAGGGTAAACCCCTTAGGTTCCACAGTGAGTATGACAAGCATGCTTTACTCCATGTACAGACTGATTTTACTGTTGTGGGTTTAGTAACACATTAATTTTCTTCTTCATGCCCAAATGCAGGATGACACTTCCTGTGCCTATCAGCTAAGTGATCAATAACTTTATGCTGGACAACCAATGTGGGACAAATAGAAACAAATACTTCGGCTTTACCTGGTAAATGTACCTTTCAGGAGATGCTAAAAAACTCCCAGTTCTGCCCAATCATCTCAACCATTTCAGAGCCCAAAAAAAATCATGTCTCACTCTTGTGATATCACACCCCTGTAAAACTGAACAAGAGTGCCTCCATCATTTTGGGTTTGGTAAGGAAGGGTGCGACTTTTACTAGGGAATCTTGGCACTAACTAGTTATGATAAACTAGAAAACTAATTGATTTTAAAACGATACCGTACGTTTACATTTGAGGCACATAATAAGTAATACACTCTAAAATTTGATGTTTAACTTTCCATTGTTCATACAAATGTGTGGTTTTCATTACAATGAGGACAAAGAACAATCTTTTCATTTTATTACAGTGTGCTGATTAACACAAAAGGTGGACACCTCAAAATTTCTTACTCTTTGTAAGTAGGTTAGTATGGGATTACGCTTATTTATTCATTCTGGACAGATAGCTACATGAATATGCAATTAGACAATTAATGATCATTTACATATTTCCCCTTTGTAAATCTAGGATATCCTTCTTTTAATTCATCCCATATGTAGGATTTGCTGGTTCACATCTGGCATATTAAATCCGTCATCTTTATTAATCTATTGCTATTTTCATCTTATAGTGATGTTGATACTGCAGTCAATGTTGATTTTAACCACTTGCCCTCCAGAGGATTTACCCCCCTTCCTGACAAGTCCATTTTTTGCAATATGGCGCTGCATTACTTTAACTGACAATTGCACGGTCATGCAACTCTGCACCCAAATGAAATTTACGTCCTTTTTGCCCATGAATAGAACTTTCTTTCGGTGGTATTTGATCGCCTGTGTGTTTTTATTTTTTGCACTATAAACAAAAAAAGACCAACAATTTTGAAAAAACAAAACAATATTTTTTCCTTTTTTTCCCACAAATAGAGCTTTCTTTTATTATTTAATCGCCTTGTTTGTGCTATAAAAAAAAGACCGCCAATTTGAGAAAAAAAAACTATATTTTTGACATTTTGCTATTAAACACGTCCAGTAAAAAAATTTAAAAAATAAAATTTCTTCATAAATTTAGGCCAAAATGTATTCTGCTACGTCATTGCTAAAAAAATCCCAATACCTGTAAATTAATTGGTTTATGTGAAAGTTGTAGCTTTTACACATGGCGGTATATATACTGGGATTTTTATTTTTACTAGAAATGGTGGTGATCAGTGACTTATAGCGGGACTGCGGAACTGCAGCAGGCATTCTGACACTGGGGGGAACTGACTTGGTGTCGCTGACATCCCCAGTGTCACTGACATCTCCGGTGACACCAATACAGTGATCACTGACACTGTACTGACACTGGACAGGAAGGGGTTAACATGTGGGGTGATCAAAGGGTTAACTGTGTGATGTTTTACTGTGTGCTGTGTTAGTGCTTTCAACTGTAAGCACCCTGCTTTGCATGCAATACAGTGTGCAGGAGCTGACAGGGGAGAGAACTGTATTGTTTATATACAGTTCTCTCCCTCCGTCGGTAATGCTCCTCGATCACCGGGTGCCGGCGAGTAATCACCGGCTGGGACCTGGTGATTGACAGCCGAGGCCGCGAATAGCCCCCTACCTTGAAATGCAAAAATCACACACACATATATATATACACACACACACACACGTGATTTTGCACACCCATGCCGCCCTGTAGTAGAGTATTACTGCTATAGGGTGGACAGGAAGCGGTTAAAGAGAAACTGTAAATAATTGTTAGTAAGCACACAATAGTAACTAGTGTAACATTTACCTACAAGTGATCTTTCACATTACTTTAAAATTTGTTATTTTCCAGCTGTTCCATATTTTGGTTACTATACTTCATACACAGATGTGTAAATGGTTGTTGGTTTTGGGTATATCAGGGAATTTGATAAGTAAACCTGATTAAAGTGTATCTAAACCTAAACACAAATAAGAAAGATAGAAACCAGCGCAAACACTCTATAGTGTAATATGTATAAAACCATATGTATTTATTGAGCTATTAAAAATGCACTTAGAAGAGTAACTAGGCTGAATGGGGTGACCAAGGCAGAATCAGGAGGACTGACAACATGGTGTGGGACATTGTGGGGGGTTTGTTCATTCACAACATGTTATATGTTACACCCTGAATATGGGTGTAACATGTTACGAAAGGTGAACTTATCCTTTAAGATGCCACGGAGTCCCATCAGCGTGCGCCGTATGACACAGGTGATCACAGTCACATACATGATTGCAAGCTCTGAAGACAAGGATAAATATTAACAGCCTAGCTGTGCGTTATATACTGGACTTGTATGTAGGGAATGTCCAGCCCCCCCACTGCAAACTAAATGATGGCCTTCTAAGGAAGATGGCACATTCCTGGAAGAAGATTAGTGGTCTTGCTTGTGCAAATAGTCAGTTTACAATACTTTGTCCTGGTATAGCCCTTTAACCAAGGCTTGGAGGCATTCTTAAACATTAGCGAGCCACAATATTCATAAGGAAATCTGTAATATGCAATCTCCCAACCAGACATACAGTTTACATCACAGGCAAAGAGGTGGAAACAGGCACTGTGAGAGGAATGGGACTCATCCGTAACCTGGAAGTGTGGCTGCGATGGCAGGAACCTCCCCCCATCTGATGACACGCGTGCCTCTTCTTCTTCAGCCTTTTTGCCAGATGCGGTGGCCACCTTTGTTTCCTTTTTCTGGCTTTTTACCATATATGGTAATCCTACCAGTAGCATACTTCCTGTCCTAGGGTGACAACACACTCATTCCCTATAATGTATCTACTATATGGAGGAGCATTATTGTCTCCCTAGACCAGGGGTGTCAAACTGGCGGCCCTCCAGCCGTTGCAAAACTACAAGTCCTATCATACCTCTACCTTTGGTAGTCATGCTTGTAACTGTCAATCTTGCAATGCCTCATTGCAATGCCGCAAGTTTGACACCTGTGCCCTAGACTATTCTTCTGATTTGAACTATTTTCTTTACTTGCTAAAAATGTTTTTAGCCTGAAAAAAAAAAGAAAACTTAAGCATCTGCCACATTCGAGGACTGGTAAACTCAATACATCAGGTTTTTGTTCTTGAGTTTAGATAACCTATCATAAACTCATCACATAAGGGCACAGAGGTTACTACCCATGAAACTGCACATCAAAATGATAAGCAGATGCAATATATGAAAGTGTCAATCTTCCCTGTAAATGCTGACATTGGCCCTGCCTGCTTTCTGCTTCCCAAGTCTCCCTATTAGTCATTGAGGTTGATGGGCTACTTTTGGGACATGGGTTTTAATGCCTTCCATGACACTAGTGGCTATATGCTGCATTGGCATTTTTTCCAGCTCACACGGCCGTTGATTTCATCTTGTCTACTTGCTGTTAGGGCTTTATTTCAACTCTATATTAGGTTTTGTGGATAACATATGTCTTATTTAGTTAATTTATGATAATGATATGTCACATAAGGGTGGTGCGATTGCACTGTGGGTGGAGGGGGGTATGGTTTGTGGGTATGCTACTTTTTACTGTTTGTTGCTTTAATAAGGGTGCATTAATCCTTACTGAAATATTGGATGCACAATATATATGTGTTGCCTACTTAAATTCTCCTGTTGACATGTCTGGTGAGTGCTTCCACCAATGCTCACTAATTAACTTTCTTGTGACTGCACTGCAAGCAGGTAAACTTCTATCAGGCTGGGTTCTCATATGTGCGGGTGGTGCGGCTGTGGATCAGCACAAAAATCTGTGCAGTCACACAACCCGCACAGAGGAATGCGGACCCGTGGGCGGGTGCCATTAGTTCTAATGGCACACCGCCCGCACTGGAAAATGCAACCGTACTGGGAACCGAGGTTCCCTGCGTTTTCAGTAGAAGAGCAGGGACTTCGTCCCTGCGTGTCATGGGGCAAATGAATGGGCTCTCATGTCCACGCAAAACGCGGCCTGCACGACCGCATATATGTGAACCAGGGGTCAATGTGTACCGTGACTACAGTTTTCTCTCTCTCTCTATATATATATATATATATATATATATATTAACACATTATATATAAACATATTTTACATATATAAATATATTTCTAGTAATGTACACTGAGCCATGCATACGCAGTTCAGAGTAAATTTACAGCACCGTTCTGTGTCATGATAAAGTGACTTTTGCGCATGCACGGGAGTGATGTCATTGCAGACTGGCCATTACAAACAGCTGAACAGAGTGAACCTGATGAACCTGAAAGACTGGGTGAAAATGTATGCACCCAGGACCAGCTGGAGTGTTGACAGCTCACCGCTGGAGGGCTTTATTGACAGGTACATCTGCCATAGTGTGATAATATGCCCTGCATACTTGAACATTATGGAATAAACCTCCTGGAGGCCCATTTATAAGAAATATGTGGTGGAGTTTAACTTCATTTCAATAAATAAAGCAAATATATAAAACACTATACATTCTATCAGACCTCATATAGTGGTTTTGAATATATTTCTTTCCCTCCCTGTCTCTCTCAACTCTGTAAAACTCAGTACAGACACACAGTCAGAGAGAGACAGTCTGAAAGCAAACAGCTGCTGCTGTGCTTTTTCTTTAGAAATGCCACAATGTTGTGAGATTAAAACTCAGTTGGAGAAATATAGATTAAGTAGAAATATATAAAAAGAATAATCTAAAAATATACCCAAAACCCAAAAATATACCCAAAACCATTATATTCTCCTAGATTGTAAGCTCGAAAGAGTAGGGCCCTCAGACCCCTCGTGTGCTGTTTGTTGTTGCTGTACTGTTTCATGTATTGTCCCCCCCTCTATTGTACAGCGCTGAGCAAACCCTTTGGTACTATATAAACTTGATGTAATAATAATAATAATATTCTCCCTTCAATCACACTTCAATAATTGCTAGGGATTATTCTCGAAGAGTAGCAAACTTTTATAAATCAAACAGAGCAAATGGTTCCCTAAGTTACAGAATTAGAATGTACAAATGCACACAAATAGAGCATTGTGAAATCATGCAATAATAATAAGTACCACATGCTACTTGTGTAGCTTACACTATAGAAAGCTATTTGTTCAATCTGACCCATCACGTCTAATAATGATTTTTGTAGCATGAATGAGCTACTGTCTGATTATTTATTTATTTCAGGCACTTATATAGCGCTGTCAATTTACGCAGCGCTTTACACATATATATATTGAACATTCAAATCAGTCCCTAACCCTCAAGGGGTGTACAATCTAAGTGTGGGAGGAAACCGGAGCATCCGGAGAAAACCCACGCAAGCACAGGGAGAACATACAAACTCTGTGCAGGAGGCGCCATGGTCAGGAATCGAACCCATGACCCATTTACTGCAAGGCATAAATCATAACCTTTAGGGTTTGTTCATACCATGGTGCAGAGACACCAGTTTTTCTGCATGTGTTCTGTAAGGGTACAACGAAATCCATTGTTCTCTATGTGCCCTGTTTATACCACAACACTAGTATCACGTGCAGATTTTTTCAACATAAATATATTGAAATGCCCATCAAAATTGATGTCTCTGCAAGTGAAATCTGTGCATCAGTTTACATCAGTTTTTCTGCACGTATGGTGTGAATGAGGCCTTATTGTGAACTTGCGCTTTCCCATACCATCCTCCCAAGCACATACAGTATTTATCTTTTGCTCCCTGTCCATCTCATTCAGCCTTGGGAAAGAGGTTGAATAACTTTGTATCAAGTCAGATCTCTAGGAATGATTATCTCCCTGTCCCAATGGGATAGAATTCAGCCAATCACCAAGCCCCAGTGTTGAAAAATAGAGATAATCACATATTTCAAATGTAATAGGTATTTTATTCTCCCTGAATGCTGCAAGGGATAGACAAACGGGTGAATATGTGCTGCTGGGAGTCTATGGTTTAGTGAACCCGGAAGCACTGGGTAAAGAGTGAAGGGCTGGTAAGGTGAGTATCCGTAGAATGGATAGGGGATGGACCTTTACAAAGGTGTGTGGTGAATGGGCAAGGTGTCAATGTCCCTGTCTGAGGCTTTCTCTTTTACTCCCCATTTGTTACAAAGTTGCTGCATGTTCAGTCTCTGTAGCAAACAAAAATGAACCAACGCATTATGCAAATATAGTAAATGACTCAATATGGAGAAAGTACTCCAAAAGAGACCTAGAAAACCAAAAAATGTACAGTATATGATATATATTGTGTTATACATCTGTGTTTCCCATGCTTAAAAAAAAAAAAGAACAGTTTTTCTGGCAGACTGTAGACACCACTGCCTCTTGTGGTTAATGGCAGATTTGCTGTATGTATTAATGTGGCATTGCACTTACTTAGCAAAAAAGCCAATATTTTCCCAAACTCTGCTGCCACAACAACCACATTAACTAGGATTCATGCAGCACTAGATC